TTTGACTTCATATAGGTAGATTAAGTTGGACCTTGTAGCATAAAGAGAAGGTCTTCCTTCATTAATAGGGAAAGGGTTAGCTCGGCTGGCTGGGATCAGTTAGGGTAATGACACAAGAATGAATCTGAACAAATTAACTCTATCTTTACTGTATGGAACAAAGGAAATCATTCTGAAAAGGAAAATCGCGCACACGTAAAGGGTCTTTAGTATTCGGGTGAGGTTTATGCCACTTTGGTAGACTGTAGGGGGTGGTTCAAGAATTTTCCCTTCATGAATGACATATATGTTGCTCTAATAGATGGAGGGTTCTCAAGGAGTAGTATCTTACTTGGTTTGTATCCTGAAGGATCACCGTAGTGCCTACCTAGTCGGAAATGTTGAGTGAATTGACTTAGTTTTCATATACACTTACAAATTAGTGAAATGTTAGAGTTCCAAAGAATCTGGTATTAAATTTATGCATTTATAGGTTTATAAATTAACCTGGGAAAATTGACATCTTTATGAAGTCTTTCTATCCAACAATATGACATATCTTTCTTCCTAGTTGTTTAGGTCTTCTTTTATATTTGGGGGTATTTTAAAGGTTTTATTTTGCATCGTAGTCTTTAGCATTATGAAGTTTCCTTGTCTTTAATGATTTTGCCCTTTATTCTGCCTGGTCTGCCTGCTAGCAAGATTGACAGACATTGTAAGACAGTCCTGTTTTATTTTTATTTGTATTACTTTTTAGTATACTTTTGCATATTCCTTTCATTTTTAATCTGTCTGAATGACTTTATTTTAGGTATATCTCTTGTGTAGAGCATAGAGATAGATTTTGCTTTTTTAGCCAATCTGAAAATCATTTTCTTTTAATAGGTGAGTTTTACTCATTTGCATTTATTGACAAATGTGTTACATTTGAGCTTGCTTCTGCTACATGGCTTTCAGATACTTGATGCCTTTTCACTATGTGCTTTGTTTTCTTTGGGACCTCCTCCTTTTTTCCTTTTTGGTATTTTGGAAGGTTTAATTTCCATTCTGTTACCTTTAATTGAAGATATAAATACCTCTTAGCGCTTCTTTAGCTACTTACTGCCTTTGTTCCCTACCATGAGCAATACTAAAATTATCTAGTTACTGTTTTTTCTCTTTTCTTGGTATAATTAAATTTTAGTTTAAACATCTTGATGTTCACCCTTATGGTGTTGAGTATGTTTAGGTGTATACTGATTGATTTGTGAGCCTCAAAGTGAATTGTGTTTCTTTAGTTCCAGTTATTGAGATATTTGTCAATTTAGTTTCATCTTTCTCCTATTTTGTGTGTATGTTACTTGACATCTCCAAACATTATAACATTTACATAACTGTTTTGTCAGCTTTATCCTCATTTAAAAAAATAAAATTTAATTTTTAGAGTAGTTTTAGGTTCACAGAAAAACTGAGAGAGAAGTACAGAGTTCCCAGGAAAGCCCCTGTCTCAACATGTTCACAGCCCGCTCCATTATCACCATTTCTGCACCAGAGTAGCACATTTGTTACACTTGATGAACCTACACTGATGTATCGTTATCCCCCAAAGTCCTGAGTTTACATTATGGTGTTGTATGTGCATCTGTGAGTTTTAGCAAATGTATAATGACATGTATCTACCATTACAGTATCATCCAGAATAGTTTCACTGCCCTAAAAATTCTGTGTGCTCCGATGATTTATCCTCTCTACCTCCTACACCCTGTCAGCCATTCTAATACCTTTTCTAGTATGTCATATTAGTTGGAATCATCCAGTATGTAGCGTTTTCAGGTTGGATTTTTTTATATAGTACTATGCATTTATTTTTTTTCCGTGCTTTTTCATGGCTTGCTAGCTCATTTCCCTTTAGCGCTGAGTGACATTCCATTATCTGGATGTACCACAGTTTATTCATTCACCAGAATTGTTTATCCATTCATCTGTGTTTTGGTTGCCTCCCAGTTTTGGCAATTATGAATATATAAACATTTGAGTGCAGATTTTCGTGTAGACATAAGTTTTCAACTCCTTTGGTTTAATGCCAAAGGTTTTGCACCTAAGGGTGCAGAGCTAGATGGTGTGGTAAGAGTACAGATGTTTAGTTTTGTCAGACTGCTTTTGGTCTGTCGGTCAGTTATCTTCCCAGAGACAACCATGGTTAGGAGTTTCTTTTGTATTCCTATGAAGCCTTTCTAGATGCATAAAACTAAGTGTTACCTATTGAAATATGTAAAGATACGTAAGCACTGTTCACATCTTGAATTTTTTCCTTAAGCTTCCTTGACTGCTTTCTTTCAGCACTCACATTAACCCTAACCCAGCCTGAAACTGAGCCCTTTTCATTGCATAGAGTTACTGTAATTTCTTTAACTAGGTCCTCCTTAACATTTTTCTATATTAAGCACTGTTACAATAAATACTCTTGATATATATTTAGAAAAGAATCTGCATAGTTTTGTAAAAGACTGCTGCACAGTGTTCTAAGGTAGCTGTACCATCTTGCATTCTCACCAGCAGTGAATGGGACTTCCTGTTGCTCCACATCCTCGCCCGGCATTTTTTGTGTTTTTGTTTTTGGCCATTCTAACAGGTTTATGGTGGTACTTGTTTTAATATGCATTTCCTGGATTTTGTATAATATGGAACATCTCTTCATATGCTTATTTGCCCTCTGTATATCTTTTTTGGCGAGGTGTCTGTTCAGGTCTTTTGCCTATTTTGTAACCAGATTGTTCATTTTTTTACTGTTGGATTTTAAGAATTGTTTTGTGTATTTTGGATAACCATCCTTCATCCGGCATGTTTTTTGCAGGTGTTTTCTCCCAATCAGTGGCTTGTGTTTTCATTTTCTTGATATTCCCATCTTCTAGTTGTAGTTCTATAATTAAATATATTTACTTCTCATCCCCAGTCTTTAATGTTAAATCTTCTTCAATTTTTTTCTTGATTATCTGAATCTCATTCTGAATCACTCAGGCATGCTCCGGGGGAGTTATTCTCTAAAGTTTTACAGGTTTATAACTCTTTGTCTCTAACCTTGCACTTGAAGGACACTGTGGCTGGATTTAAAATCCTTATGTCACTTTCTTTTTTCCCTTTGAGTATCTTAAAAATGTTACTGCACTGTTTTCTAGCATAAGCTGCTATTGATTTTTTATACCAGCGTGATTCTCTTTTCCCTTAAAGGTGAGTTGGCTTTGTGTTTGTTTCCCATTATGATAATTTCACATATTTTTGTTTGTTTTCCATGTTTCAGTGAATTAGATTTCCCTGGACTATTAGGGGCAGGTTCCTGTGAAGGAGCAGATAAACCAGGATAGCTTTCTTAGTTTTCTGTTCACAGGCTTTCCCTTCTATTGTTGTGAGTGTCATCTGTGTAGCTGCTTCTTTCTGTCTCTTAGAGAGAAGCCTTATTCAGGAAAGTTTTCTTCTCTAACCCGGTGACTCTGTGAGCTTTACAGGCTCCACATCACATCATAAGCTACTTATTTTTTATAGTATTTCCTGAGATCTGTTTCCTTTGGAACTTCACCCTCACCTTCCTCCTTTAATATCTGAAACTTCTAACTCCATTATTTCTGTCCTGCAGTTTGGTTTCAGATTGCACGAGTTTTTTCCTTAGCATGGAGCTCTGTCCTGGAAGGGTTTCTTTGCTTGATGCTTTGAGATACCTGAGAGTTTAGAGTTCACAGTACTGTTTGCTGCCTTAGGACAGATTTTTGCACTTATCTGGGATGTGGAGCCTCGGAAAACCTTTCCCTTTTTTCCCTTTGTTTTCAGATTTGTTTTCCCTGTGTCCACCAGTGGTAGAATTCTGTTCTTTTGCCGTATTAATAATGATTATTTGAGTTGTGAGATTTTGCAGGGTAGCTGTGTAGTCCTATTACTTCCTGTTGCTCCTCTTCCACACAGTTGCTGATCCTGTGGTATTGGTGGTGGAGCCACATTCTCTCATAGTCTTAAGATTTGAGGGGATTCTCTTTTACCTACTTTTATTGAAGATGTAGTCATCACTGGGTTCTTCTGATATCACAACTGGTATATTTGGTTTTCAGGAGTTGTCCTTGGGAGATTCAAAAACTATGCTGCCACCACAGTTTTAGCACAACTAACCCTTTATTTTATTAGTGTAATTGTGACCAATATAAAAGGAGCTTGATTTTTTAATCTCTAAGTTTGAAAAATTAATTTAGAGCAACATATAAAATTGTATATGTGTAAGATCTTTTAAAAAACTTTAAAATTGAAATCATTTTTTATTTTTCAATTAGAGTTGACATACAATATTTTATTAGTTTCAGGTGTACACCCCAGTGATTAGACATTATATAATTTACTAAGTGATCATCTTGCTAAATCTTATACCCATCTGACACTATATTGTAACATCTTAATACAGGATTTTTTTTTTTAACATTTCTTTGTGATCTGTTGGGAGTCATATATAAATGTAAGATGTGATTTTTGTTGTTAACATTCTTCTAGGTTTTAAATATGCATCATTTGCCTCTGGTTGTAGTGTTAAAATGGTATAGTCTGATGGAAATTTTAAACTAATTGAGATATGTACATAAAATTACAAGTGAAAAATTTTTAAAGTAAACATGGAAACAACCTGTTGAACTTATATTGAAATGAATAAGCATAATTGCATAAATTGCTGCTTGATGGAAATAAATATGTTTAGACAAAAGTTAATGGAAAATGGAATGAAATCATGTAATTGTTTATTTTCACATGTAAAATATATAGTCATACGTAATCTTTGGATGTTTTATGAAAGAAACATGAAAATTTAATATGTGAGTTAGAACTATTTGTAATTTTAGATTTGCTCAATCGTCTTCCACATAGCAAGTGGTAAATAAACATTTTCATTGTGACTATTGTACAAGGAGACAGTATTACTATTTTATAGTTTTATTAGTAAAGATTATATAGTCTGCTGAATCTAACTTCAAACTATGGAAATCCAAAATAAAATGATCAATTTCTCACAGGAACTAAAGTTAAAAGATGAAGAGTGTGAGAGGCTTTCCAAAGTACGGGATCAACTTGGACAGGAATTGGAGGAACTCACAGCTAGTCTATTTGAGGTTGGTCTATTTACATCTTGGCCAAAGTCTTGATTTTTATATATTGATAGAATTTTTTTTGAGGGAATCTCGAGAAAAGTATGCTTAGATTTATGCATATTTATAAGTTCTCTAAGAAAAAATAAAATCCTTAAGAAATATAAAGTCTGCAACTTAAAATGCTGTGAAAAGGAAAAAAGACTATGGGCTACCAGTATCAGGTTGTTTAAATATGCAAATGTGGAAAGAGAGGAGGTAGATTTTAATTTTGATTTGTACTAACTTTTAGAGACTGCTTTAGAGTAACTTTATATGACTTCTACAAGAAAGATGTCAAACCCTTGATGTATATCTCATACGGGATGATTTGAGGAATACAAGGAGGTACATCTACGTATTAGAAGGTACACCTTTTTATCTGCAGCCTGCCACTAGAGCCAAAATTTTTACCCAACTCAAACAGTGTTTTTCAGTAGGAGTGCCACTGATGTTGTAGGATATTTAGTATGCTTGGTGTATTAGTTAGGGTTCTCCAAAGAACAGAAGTAATAGGATGTATGTATATGCATAGATACATATACATGTATACAAAAAGAGGCTTATATAAGGAATTGGCTCATGTGATTTTGGAGGCTGGTAAGTCCCAAGTTTTGCGGGGTGAGGCCCAGAAGAGCTGATGATATAGTTCCAGTCCAAGTCCAATAACTTGAGAAATAGGGGGAGCCGATGGTGTGATCCTAATTCAAAGGCTGACAGGCTCAAGACCCAGGAAGATTTTATGTTCAGTTTGAGCCTGAAGGCAGAATGACTTCTCTCTTAATTCTCCGTGGGTCAGCCTTTTGTCCTGTACAGGTCCTCAGCTGATTGGATGAGGCCCACCCATGTTCTGGAGGGCAGTCTGCTTTACTCAGCCTACTGATTTAAATGTCCGTCTCATCCAGATGCACCCAGAATAATGTTTGACTAAATGTCTGGGCACAGTCAGGTTGACACAAAATTAACCATCACACTCGGCTTTGCCCCCAAAATGCTAAAAATACTCCACGATCATTTTGACAACTTACAAACATCCATGAGGGATGGGTGGAGGACAGTGCTCCCTTGCTGTTAAGAATTACCACCGAGGAGGGCCTCCTTTTAGGTTGGCCCTCAGAAATGTTCCTTATCAAAAGCATTGATGTGTTACTAGAATGACTGATGTTGTTATCACTCACCAATGTTTTTTTTCTTACCAAATTTGTTCTTAAAACTTTTAATGTAATAAAAGATTTTAGGGGAGAATTTCTTTACCCTGTATTTGTATTTATGCAGCTCTATGTATTTCAGTGTTGGATATGCCTATTTGCTGACATAGTTGAAATCCTACCGTATTTTATAGGTTTTTTTTCAAATAAACCTCTTTCTAGGTTACTGCATAGTCAGTGTAATGATAGAATAGTCTATTAAATGCATATTCTACAATTTTTATCATTACGAGTAGATTGCATGGAAGTCTTCAGACACATGAGCTTTCCATGTGCCTTCTGCTCTACACCTGTTTGCCCTCTCCTCTGCCTTTTTGGGGGTCATTTTCTTTCCTGAACATTTTAAAGCTAATTTATTTTTTGTTTAGATAGCTAGTCATTAGAGATGAGAGAAAGAGAAATTTAAGGTGGAGGAGATTGGGAAGTTAACGATCTGGAACAGGAGCTAGCTGTGTGCTTGTTATATTTTTATATGTACAGGGAGTATACAGAAACATAAGGCTTTCTTCCATTGTTGTATAGCTAGAAGAAAATTTTGTAATGATATGTGGAAATTAGATAAGAAAGCAGATATATTGTACTACCTATGTTAATTTTGATTTCTTATCTGCATGCCCTTGATTTTAGCCCTGCTTAGCTCCACCTTTCTGTACTTATATGTATATTCTGTAGATGAAATAGAAAGAAAACAAATAGAAGGAAACTTTTCCTTCTTGGATGCAGTGGAATGTGAAGTACTAGATATATAGTTTGTGTAATTAATGAAAAAGTATATCTAAAAAACATAGTTTTGGGGTCCCTAATTATCCCAAGCTAACAATGGCTAATAGTATTGACACTATGAACTTCCTGGGAAGGAAATTACATTGATTTAACATGATTTTAGTAATGAAGAAAGTTGTATTCAAACCAATTATTTCTGAATTTTGAGAAAAAGTGTTCAAATTTTTCTCTGGTCTAAATTGTGGGTTCATGATCTCAGTTTACCATTGTCATTTGAAAAGATTTTTGCTTGCATTTTATGGGTATGTATATATGTATGTAGGTTTGAGAATTAAAGATTATTCTAAATAAACTCAATTTGCACAGTTTTGGTAAATTTAACATGTAAATTCAAATTAGCTTATGTATGATGAATAATCTTGAATATAATTATACTTTGTATATAGCAAAGTTGAGTCTTAAAAGTATCAAAAAGTATGGAAGAACTCTAAAGTTATATGTATTTTTTTTCCTCCTAATATCTTAGATTTTGAGATAATACTATAAAATTAAGTCAGTTGAAAGAATGCTTTACAAAGTAGTCTACATTTAACATGGAAAAAAAAAAGATAGGTAATCTTAAGATTTTAAAAAATTTGTCCACCAGTTTTAGTACATTTTTATGATATGTGTAGTTTTCTCTCCATAATGCTGTGAGGCATAGAGTGCAAGTTACCATCATTATATCTGTGAAGAAAATGAGGCATGGATAGGCTAAGGAGCAGTCCTGGGACTCAGATTCATGCCCTCAGGTCTTGCCTTGAGTACTATAAAAGTCATAAATAGCAGTTCCTTTTGTCTCAAGCCACAGAAACAGGAGCCATCACTGAGGCCTCTCTCCATCCCACAGTCAGCCTCTCAGAAAGGCTGTACCGTGAGCACCTAAAGCAGCCCATCTGCCTTTCTCTTGTGATATTGCTAACACCGTCTTTCATGCCATCGTCGTTTCTTACCTAGATTAGTATATGCCAAACATTTTGTTCATGTACCTGATCAGTAAAAGAAAAATTTGAGCATGTGCCTTAGTTGTAATGAAGATACCTTGTATTTATTCAGGGTTCCCCATGTGCTAGGCACTGTTCTAAAGCATATATACTTATAAAGTATATGCACATACTAACATTTATAATAATGTGTTACATAAATTGTAAAACAATTTTGTAAGAGTGAAAATAATAATGCTTAACATTTTTTACAATAGTACAAAATATTTTCTTCTAAAACACATTGTGAGTGTGAGCATTAACTTACAGCGGTGGGCAAGTGGGTTTATAGTTGTATGGAAAATAACACAATAATTAATGAATAATAATACAAGAATCAACTGTTTCACATACAACCGTAAGCTTACTTTTGCCCACCCCTGTATTTAGTGAGATGAGTTTGATTGAATATATTACCTTGGTTTTGAAAATCTTGTTTTAACAATTCACTATCTAGATGAAGGTCTGGTCTAAGTGTTTTTTTCTTAAATTAGATTTAATGCTGCTGCTAACTCACACATATATAGATCCAAATGGGAGAAGCATATCTTCCCTTGTTTGAAATCATTATATTACATTTTCAGTTTTGTTCAGTTATGTGAAAGTTTTTTCAGAAAATTCTGTATTGAATTTCTGTCTTCTCTGATACCAACAAGTTGTTTTTGCAAATTAATCAGAAGATTAGGAATAACTCATGCTTTTTGGAGAATTAGGTTAAAAATTCTGTTTTCAAAGTTTGTAAGTATAAAGATGTGACTGCTTCCTGCAGGGTAAAACTGGTCTGTATCTTCTTTTGTACAGTTTTGAGCTGATTGGTTTTTACATTTTAAAATAGTTGTAGGGGGATCAAAAGAAGAAAATTTTGTGATATATGAAAACTATATGAAATTCAAATTTTAGTGCCCATAAATTTTTATGGAAATGGCCACAATCACTTGTCCATGTATGTATTGTCTGTGACCACTTTCACGCTGCAACAACGGAGTTGAATAATTGCAACAGACGTTGGCTCACAAGCCAAAACTACTTACTGTCTGGCTCTTACAGAAGAAGTTTGCTGACTCCTGGTATAAATAATACTTCTGTCATTTTCTGCTTCAGAATGAGGGAGTGATAGAAGAATTTTCCAACTTTTTAGTACCTATGTTTTGATGTGTTTTGTCAATGCGTAAAATCCTGTATGTTATCTTTTTAGAGACTGTTTCTTCCTTACTCTAGTTCTCTTTTTTTTTTTCCTTCTGGGACTCCAATTACATGAGTGTTATATCTTTGCACTGCGTCCTTTTTATATCAAAGGGAAAGGTCACCCCAAATCCCAGCTCACTTTTCTGAGTTGACATCTTCTGTTGGATTTGGTGCCCCAGGCCTTCACTGTTTCATTTGCTCTCTAATGCCTTCAAACACATTTTAAAAAGTTTTCCAGTTCTTTTAATTTTTCCCCATGGGACATTGTGTCCAAGTTACATAGTCCACTATTAATGAAAGCACAGTCTATTTCTAAACATTTAAACAATTTTATTCTTTCCGTAGCATGAGCTAATCTGCATTTATAGTTAAAATGTAACTTTTCTTGAAGAGTCAGATTAGATATGTTTATTATTTTGAAAATATCTGCCAAATAACCCTTGTTGGCGTGGCTCAGTGGATTGAGTACCAGCTGGGGAACCAAAGGGTCGTTGGTTCAATTCCCAGTCAGGGCACATGCCTGGATTGCTGGCCAGATCCCCAGTAGCGGGCGCTCGAGAGGCAACCACACAGTGATGTTTCTCTTTCTTTCTCCCTCCCCCCTCTCTAAAAATAAAATCTTAAAAAAAAGAGAAAATATCTGCCAAATAGTTCAATTGACAGCTACTTACTATTACAGGAAAATTCAGCAAATCTGAAACAATTGTTCTTTTCACAAGAAAAATGCTTACCTCATTATTAAATTTGACAGTTCTGAGGATTTTGGCACAAAATAACCAGCACAATTGTTCATGGAAGATTTCCACAGTTAATCTCATCTCATCATAAACCATTGATAGTAAAGCTTTTTAAATTTAAACTAATATAATCTCTAAATTCACATTCATGGGCACATATTGGGTTGACCAGAAAGTCTATTACCTTTTTTCCATAAAATAAAAGACGAATTTTTCATTTTTACTGATAACTTTATTGTTTTGGGTCTTTTGAATATGTCAGCTGTCTGCAGCAATTTATTGGCTTCTCATGGGTAGAGGCCAGGGGTACTGCTAAACATCTTCTAATGCATAAGACAGCCCGACAGCAAAGAATTACTTGGCCAGAATGTCAGTTGTACCAAGAAACTTCACAAATCACTTTTGACATATTCTATCAGTCACAGTACCATCTTCATATACTGCACAATGTTTTTCTTGTGTTTCAGTTGCATTTTTACTTTTCTTGAAATAATAAAGCATAATATGCTAAAAATGTTATCTTCTTCCATCTTCAATATTAAAATGGTTCCACAATTTTGGTAAGTTTTTTTTTTAAACGCATGCTGAAGTAACAGCTGTCACAAAACAGTCTAACAGAACTGGAGCAAATGAAGTTAAAGACCACTAGGCACTACTTCTGCCATTGTACAGAAAAAAATGTAACAGACTTTGGCTAACCCAATATAAACCAATTCACTGCACTACTGTAAAAGCAAACGAACAAACAGGAGGGCCACTGTCAGACTCTGAAGTGCAGGACTTCTCTTCCACTTGGCCACTGAACAGCTGACCGACCTTGTGAAGGTGTCATTGTCAAGATATGTGTTAAATATCTTTGAAGCTTCCTCCCTCCCTCTCTCCCTCCCTCCCTTTCTCCCTTCCTTCCATCCCCACTTCCTCCCTTTCTTCTTTCTCATAAACTGCAAATCCAAGTTCCAAAGTATATGTTATTACATCCCAGGGGATTATCTCGAGCACCCTATATACTGTTCCAGTCCATCTTTCATCCTTTTATAGAGGTTATTCGATGCAGCAGAGCAATCTTTTAAATACGCAAATTCAGCCCTGGCTGGGTAGGTCAGTTGGTTAGAGCATCATCCCGATCCCTAGTCAGGGCACATTCAAGAACCAGCCAATGAATACGTAAACAAGTGGGACAACAAATCAGTGTTTCTCTCTCCTTCCCTCCCCCCTTCTCCCTCTTCCTCTCTTTCTCTAAAATCAGTAAGTAAAAATTAAAATACAATTTAATCATATCCCTCTCTTTCTTAGAAGACTGTAAGACTTCATGCTGCACTTAGAATAAAATCCAGAATTGTTGCTCAGATATATTAATTATTAGACTGTAATCAGGATGTAAGCTCTGTAAGAACAGGGACCTTGTCTTTTTTCCTAATATATTATGAGCACCTGGAACAGAACCTCACAAAGATGGTGTGAATAAATGTTTGATGAATAAATATTATATAAATAAAAGAGAATTAAATACCTAGAGTTTCATATTTGTGCTACTAAAAGAATTAAGACCCTGTTAAAAGGTAAACTGACTTATCTTTTTAGATTACTCTGTACAAAATCATTACTTCATATCATTTGTGAGTTTTTTTAATTGATAAGGTTTCTCAGCTGTCATTTCTATAAACTGCAATACTATTGATATTTTAATATTTTTACTTGTCTCTTCTATATGTCTTTGCTGTGACTAAGATGAGTGTGTTGATAAGTATATATAATATACATATATACATGTATATAGTGATCAAATTATAAAAACTTAATTGCATAGAAATTGGGTTTAACATGCACATCATGTATTTTCTTTCATCGCAGCCACAGTCCTTTATTCAGCTGTGGGTTGAATGATTGCACTGCCTCAGTGGTGATAGGTACTAGAAAAGGTACCTAGTCCTAATTTCTAACAGTTTGTCTATCTGCTGACAACCACTATTTCAGCAGATGTTGAATACTTATTTTCATGTTAAACTTTGGTGGTATATCTTTGCTTTAGTCACTTATTAAGAGATTTTTTAAAATAAGTGCTAAATACTTTGTTTCCAAAATTTGAGATCTTAACTTTTTCAGGAAGCTCATAAGATGGTGCGAGAAGCAAATGTCAAGCAGGCAACAGCAGAAAAACAGTTGAAAGAAGCACAAGGAAAAGTAAGTTTTTACTGTTTTTAATTGTATAAAAAGTAAAGAAATTAGTGATTACTGTATATATTGTTTTTAACCGCAACGCTGTTTTATTAGGGATTAGATTAAGGCTAAATCTCTAAGAATGAGGGAGTCAATTAGGGGGCATAAAGCCCATGAAAACTCCCAGATTTCATAGTGAACCACCTGCGCAGGTTCTTCGGCGGGATCGCTGCCTTGTTCCAGGTGCAGATTATTCTAAGGATGCTGCTTCAGCCCCTTGGGCGGGGGGGAGGGGTAGTCTCCCTGACCCAAGACATGAATAGCACGAAGGCTACAAAGCTGAAGAGGTGCTTACACATGAGATTCCAAGAAACAGGTGTGGGGGACGTGTCCACATGGTTCCTAATATACACATCTAGGTCCCAGTGAATTGGTCCACTCCCGTTCAGTCTGAGGCCTGGGTGATCCCGGTCACCCCGTGGGTTCCTCTGGTGCTGTGAGTGGTCACAGAGCTGGGTCGTCGCCATAGCCCGTGCCATCATCCGGGTCCTGCTCGTCGTCTTCCATCCGCATATGACACTTCTTGGCAGCCGCAGCTCATTCTTCTGGGGCTCGGGATAGGGCCCCGGGATCGTGCCCTGGCGTAGTGCGAGGCTGCCCGTGCACTCAGCGGCCCCGCAGGCCGGGCTGCCCTTCGCAGCCATTGGACTCCCCGACCCCCTGCCGTGGCTGCCACCAGATTGACCTTCCTCCTGTTGCTTAGTGATTAATGACTTAAAGATACCATAACAGTGGATTTTGTTCTGATTATAAATGTAGTGCTTTTTAGAAGATTTGGAAACTATAAAGGAGAAAAAAGCTACTAGGTAGATAATATCGAATATTTGATGTCCATTTATATTAGAACCAATTGATTCAAAGCTTGTGAATCACATGTATTATCAAAAGGATTATATAATCATTTTAAAGTTAATATTTATTCTCTTAATGCACTGAAAAAAGCTACTGAAATGTTGTTAGAGTTTACTGTTTTAGGAATGAACTACATCTAACGATAAGCTATTTTATTTTGGAGGTTTTTAAAATTCAAATAAATGTTAGACATTATGATAATTTTAAAATTTCACTAGACATTGTGAATAGCAGCTGAACCTACCATGTGGAAACGTCAGAAAACTCAATTTTACTGTCCTTTTATTACTCCATGGAAAATACAAATCAAAATTTTATTTTATCTTTGAAAGGGACGTGTTTTGACAAAATTGCTCACCTTTAGCTGCATCTGTCATTCCATGTATTTAGTATATGTGACTATGTTGATTGCTTCTCAAGATTGATGTACTTCAGGCTGAAGTAGCTGCATTGAAGACACTTGTATTGTCCAGCTCGCCAACATCACCTACGCAAGAGCCTCTGCCAGGAGGAAAGGCCCCTTTTAAAAAGGGACATACAAGAAATAAAAGTACAAGCAGTGCTATGAGTGGCAGTCATCAGGAGCTCAATGTGATACAGCCAATTGTAAAAGACTGCAAAGAGGTAACTCCTCAAGGACTGTCCCCTCTGACTCTGTTGATGCTTATTTATTCTCATCACTGAGGTGTCAGTTATGATTTTTGCCAGCAAATTTTTAGCAATATTAAGATGGGGGAGGCTTAATCTAGAGCTGGCTGCTTTCAGGGATTCTTCAGTTCCATTCTCTACCTGACTGACCTTGGAGTATCTGCTGGAAACTTGGTAAGTTTCTTAATCTCGATATTTCATTTAGGGAGCTAACTGTCATGTATTTGCATAAAGGAGAGCGGGTGGGTTTACTGATCTGGCTAGTTAAGATTTATTGCTAGGGTGCTCTGACAAAATATCCATGTAAGAAATGTGTGAAAATAAGGTGACTTCTTAAAGAACAGTGTGTTGCTTTTACTTAAATCCTGGGAGAAGTAGAGTTAAAGGAGTCAGAGTAAGAGGAGTCCTAGAGCTGATTCAGATAATTAAGCAACAAGAAAATAGAACTAATGGAAGGCTTATAATTTTAAAAAATATGATAACTGAGATAATGTGGAACTATTTTGAGCAGTTTTGAGTAAAAATTGTATAATTGTGAAGTATTTTTTACTTAGTCATTACAGGTGAAGAGAATGCATTTCTGAGGGGATTAATCAATAATTTATGGAGCAGTCCCCGCCCCCCGCTGTTTTTTCTTAAAAGCTATATTTTACATTGTCGAATCAAGCCCATTAATCTTTTAAGAGGCCATGTGAGCTCATTCAGTTAAATTTTTACATGGAGGCCAAGACTTAAGTAAACTAAATAACTGAGGTCATTACTATTTTAATTGAATTGCACTTTGTTTAGTTATTATTAAAGATACTGTTAGAAATTCAACACTTGGTCAGATCTGACTGTGACAAAATATAAAATTCACATTAGTTCTGTTAAATATTTAGGAAACTTTTTTTAGTCATAATTTTAATTTCTTTGAATTTAGCATTTTTAATGGCTTTGTATGACTTGTATTTTTGCTATGGTTTCTCAGTGTGTATAATTATGTACCTTTTTTCCTACTATTTCCAATAACAAAATCTAAATGTTTTCTCATGGAACATTTTAAAGTTAAAGTTTCATTTTTAGTTAATGAAATCCCTTAAAATATGAATAGACAGCATATAACTTTTAATACTCTTTTGCTTTCCAGCTGTATACTGTATTCTGTTTTGTGAAAAAAGTGTTAAAAAGTTTTATTAGACAAAGGAAAGACATAAATTTGACCTGTGTAAGTCTTAATAAAAGATACAACAGTCTAAAAGAAAAGAGATCATATTCATGTTTCTGTAGAAAATGTGGTGCAGACATTCAGTCATGACATTTGCAACATTTAAAATGTGTGAGTGCACGCACACCCACATGCATTATGCAAGGCTTTGAGATCAAGTCACTTAGATGTGAATTGGAACTTTCAGTAGTTTCTTGCTCTGTAGCCTTGGACAACTTACTTTATCTCTCTCAGCAAGCCTGTAGGAAAGGTTAGGCGCACTCAGCCTTTTGTTCCTTTCGTGTAGACCACCCGCGCACCTGATGAGGCTTTCTCAGAGGCCATAGCTGTTGTTAGTGCCTCAGTCAGAGCGAACCCAGGGCTTCTGAGTAACAGCACCTTGGAACTGCAGGAGGGTGAGGGCCGTTACCCTGTGGGGGTGACTGGGCCTCGGTACAGCTTTGGATGTTGACAGGTGGTATTGAGCTCAGCTAGGGAATCTGTAGGGAAGGGTACTTAGGGAAAACTAGTTAAAAGGGAAAGAGGGACAGCTGGAAGAATGAATAGGAAGGCTGATGCCAACCTGGATTATTGTTGATAATTCAGTTGGTGGTTATGGATGTTCATATGCCAAAAAAATCTAAATTAGTGTCATATTTTAAGATAAGCAATTTAGGAGGCTTATATGTGTACTTCTTTTAAGTCTTGCTGCTTATACAAGAAACATTTTGGAAATTCCTTTGGAAATGCCTTCAGGTAGTGGTAGAACAATTAGTATCATTTTTAGCTCCAGACTTTTGGTTTTACAATTTAGTCAATGTCAGTTTATTCAAACACTTTATTTAATTAACGTGGGTCCAAATTAGTTTTTGACTATTTTCAGTAAAGACTTGTCATTATTTTTTTATATTCAGAACAGTATGCACATGTGTCTGAAGAGGAACTCCACGTTAATTTTTAGGAGGGATAATAGTTGCATCATTTAATACCGTAGTGCATACATTGAGAAGGGCCAATAAGTCAGTCATCAGGAGTTTGAATTTTTTAAAAAGAAAAATTGCCACCAAGTATTACAACTAATCAAGAATGGTTCAATTTATTATTTTAAATGAAGAGTATTTCTTTTTCAGTAATGTTTATAAAGTAATTTTATATTTGTACTTTTTAAAAAGTTATTTTTGTTTGTTTGTTTTGGTTTGTCAGGCTGACTTATCTCTGTATAATGAATTCAGATCTTGGAAGGATGAGCCCACAATGGACAGAACATGTCCTTTCTTAGACAAAATCTATCAGGAAGACATATTTCCATGTTTAACATTCTCAAAAAGTGAGGTAATTAAAATTTTTTTTAATAGGAATACATTAGAGTCGCTCCTATACCTTTCACTAAATCATGTTATATATTTTAATGTTTCTTACATAAATAAGTTATTATAAAATGTCATATTTACCATTTTTCCTGTTCCATATTAGGACTATAATTTCTTGGCATTCAGGTACTGTGCACCTTTTCTACTTGAGCAGAGAATCATTCACACAGAAGTGTGTATTGCACTGCAGTGAAGTATTCAGTATGTGTTGGGGGTTGGCTTTATTCTTGATTCTCAGACCAGGGCACAGCATAAGGGAAGTTCTACAGTCTAAGGTGTTTGTTGGATTTCTCTGTATGTAATAAAAAATTATATTTAGTTTCCTCATTTTTAAAATGGGGGGGGGGATGTCTTTCTTGCCTATGACATAGGATTGTTAAATGAGGTGAATTAAGTAGATAAATAAAAAGATCATGATTTTAATTTGCTCTTACAGGTGGAAGGTTTGTCTATAAATATCCTGTCAACCGGTGTTTAAGATAGTTAATCCTAAAAGTCTATTAAGTCTTTAGAGGATTTAATGGTAACATTACTTGTAAGGAGAAGTTAAGATGAGCAATAAAACACTTGTTATTCATTGTAGCTCTCTCTGTGCCTGGTTTTAGGTAGGCTATTCAGTATTAGTAACTTAGCCTGACTGAAGTAGTTTGCCTGTATCATCTTTTCTTTAGCAGTTGTTACCATCTCCATCTGGGCACTTAATATTCAATAATTTTGTTAATTATTTTGTAGACATAAATGCAAGTTGAAAAAATATATAGCTATAATTAGTATAGATTGTTGTTATGAATGACCAGTATTAAATATATTGCATATATTTAACAAAATAAGGCATTGAGATACTCATTTTGAAGTTGCACTAACAGTGTATGTTAGTGATGGGTAAGGTTGAACAGAGATTGAAATTAATGCCTTTAATCTTCTTCTAGATAATGAGAAAAATTGTTTAGCTGTAACTGAATTGCATTTCATAGCAATGTTTGAATCATAAAAGAATTCAAATCAAGATTACATGGTTTCCTTTTTTTCCATTGGCTATGGCCAAGCTAGTGGGATTTTGGGAAAGGATTTTTAAAAGTCAGATTACTGTAGAATACAAATTTGGTATTTTTCTGCCAGCACAGTGTCTAATACTTTTTGTTTGTTTGTTTTTAAGTTGGCTTCAGCTGTTTTGGAGGCTGTGGAAAACAATACTCTAAGTATTGAGCCAGTGGGATTACAGCCTATTCGATTCGTGAAAGCTTCTGCAGTCGAATGTGGAGGACCAAAGTATGTTTTCAAAGCCATGTCTTGTGGAAGATACTGAGTTTTAAAATTTTCATGTGTTGTAATTATTTAATTTTTCCAGTTTTAAATGTGGTTAAATTTCTTGTCAGTTTTCTGTTTAGAGTCTGGGCAGCTCAAGCACAAATCTGCAGACAGTGTGGGATATAGCATTTCAAATCAGAGTCAACGGAGAGCGCTTTTTAATTAGGGATCCAGGTAGAACAGATATTAGAAACTCTTTCTTTGAACCACGTATTATGACCCATTAGTTGATGATGAATTCCCTTTACTGGGTCATAAGCAGAATATTTGTTTGGTACACATATATGTGTAACTGTGTGTCCTTGGTTTTTGTATAAAGTATTTATTCCCAAGGATAACCAGCAAAATTAGTTGGGAATACAGTGATTTAGACCAAGTCTTATCAGACATGAAAACAGGTACCAAGAAGACTTGGGTAATAAAAGACTTACTTAATTAGCCTTCTCCTTTCATACTGTCATAATAAAGGATTCTCACTTTGGGAAATAATCGGTTCTTTCTTTGCCTGTGAGAGATGCTTGGCAATTATAAATCTTTAGAGGTGAGACTCCACATTTGATAGCAGGACAGATTCTTTTCAGTTCATACCTAGGAGGAAGAAAGCCTGAAATTAACAGTACCTAAAACCTTTGGCACAGCTGGTTAACCAGTAAGTGAACAGGAAAGATTTTGAGGAAGCTGCCTAGTTAGTGGTTTAGAACTTAATTGACGGAGGGGACTGGAAGGCCCAAGAGAGCTCACAGAAGGCAGTAAGTGACTCTTGTCTGAGTCATTTTGAGAACAGAAGAGGAAACAGCTGATTGAGATTCACTATAGGTCTGTGTTAGAAAGCCTGCTGTGGGAGTTGTCTGATTTTTCCTTTCCTGCTAATGCAAATTATGTTCTCAGTAGGATCAGATAGTGTTGGTATTTGGGTAATCATTTGTGGAGGGACTTGGTCATGCCTTTGCTCTGTGGCCACATAACCCACCTAGAGTCGTGTCCTGCCCTGCACTCCAGCTCAGGAACACCTGTAGCACAGTGTCCTCTGAAGCTGGGGAAGGTGTTTACATTCTTAAATTCTACTCCACAAACCTCCAAGTATTTTCATCCTGATCATTAGTGCTGGCAGTTTTCATGCTTTTAAGGTTTGTGTTATAGCATATTTTAAATATAGCATATAGTAGTTTTTAATTGTAAAATGTTAAATTTGTACTTGTATAATATATCACATATACATGTGCAAATATATGACAAATGTGGGGATCAGTTAAAAGTGGATTTATGTAGTATCTTAGTCAAGTAATTATATAGATTAGGGCCAGGGAACAGTTGACATAGTTCAAGGATGTTGTGCTTGTGGGAATCGGGCCAGAAACCCATTTTTTGTTTTAAGTGCATATTGTGTGGAAAATACACTTTAAGATGCTATCGTCCTCTTTCCCGAAATGTGAAGCACGGCGCTGGCCCGGGTTGTCGTGGACCAGGTTGCGAAGATAGCCTCTACGGAGTGGCCGAGCGCTGCGGGAGTTTTGAGGAAGATAGTCCAGTGGCGGTGATCAGGGACTGTTTTCGGAGGGAGGGAGATTTGATCCAGGGTTTTGAAGGCTGGGGAGAATTTGGATAGAAAAAGAGTACATATGATTGAAAGCCTAGAAACAAGGAAACAATGTGTTCAGAGAGGGGCAAGTGTATGGAGAGGAAAGATGTGACAAATCAAAAGAAAATGTAGGAGACCATTAGATTTGGATGGAGGGATGGTCATAGACAAGTTAAAGATGACTCTTGAGATGTGGCATTTTGGAAATTAATAGGAAGGACTCTGCTTTTGGAAAGATGGTAGGTCTGGATTTAACCATTTCGACATCCCAGGTGAAAATGGCAAGGAAGGGTTTGAAACCTTGGGACTAGAGCTGCTAACAGACTCCGAGGAGTGTAGAATGGCAACAGAACATGGGAGTTGGAGGTCAGAAGACTTAGCATTGAATCCCAGCTCAAATGAAATACGTTGGCTGTGACAGTTTTCAGAAGGCTTTAAAAATGAGACAACTTGAACACTTTTTATTATTTAAAAAATTGATATTTAAAATCACTTTAGCAGATCCTTTCAAAATGAGACAAAATAGTAGACAAACAGGTGTAATCTTGTTTCCAGAAGGAGAGTGTATAAATTGATTTTTATCAGTTTGATGGTACTTTTTTTCTCTTGTGTAAATTATACTTTTGGAAGTTCCAAAGACTTACAACACTTGTTCTCTAAATTTCTTGATCTTCTATCTTTCCTGAGTTAGTAGTTTAGTATGTTTCAAAAATATTGTTACAGATCATTAAAGGAATTTGTTAATAAAGGAACAGTGAGGCAAAATTTCTTTGAAAAGACAAAAATTATTTTGTGACTGGGATGGCCATCTTCAAAATTATCCTGTGTTAAATACACATTTTCCATGTGTTTTCTTAATATAGAGGCACATTTGTGTCATATTTCTTATAAGTATAGTGGAAATTTAATGTTCATTTAATTTTTTACTATTTAATTTGTAATGTCATATTAAACGCTATTGGCCACTTGATTTTACTTGGAGCTACACTAATTTGCATTGATAGGGAGTGGGAGTTGTATTCAACCAAACTCTTAACTTACTAGAGTGACGGCTGGGCTGCTGCCGGTCCGCCTGATAGACAAGTCAGCTTCATCCTGAGCAGTAGAGTGAGTGACAGGTGGTCTGTCTCTTAACCAACATCCAGGAACGGGCTTGGTGCCAGGCATTTAAATATGACTACAATTTAGTCCCTACCCTCAAGAGGCGTGTAGCCTAATTCCAACCAGAAGGCCCTTGTACCAAATTTTAGATTTTAAAGTATGTAAATAGAAAGGATGGTATGTCTAAACGTAGTGTACCTTTATATAATTGTTAAGACTCAGTATTTTTGTAAGGTGGCTTATTCCTTTGTATTTCTTAGGCCTAGGTACCATATTAAATGCGTGTAAACCAACAAAAATACACCAAAAAGTACCTTATCTGGAAGCTACTATCTTGAAAGCAATTAGTAACATATTTTGAGACCTGAATAATCCTCATGAGGTTTTCTCCAACTCAGGAAGAAGTTGGAAGTCCTGATGGAAAGCTAAGAGCTTCCCTGTGTCAGATGACTCTTTGGTAAATTTGCTCCCGGATAGGACATATATTTAAAACATTTCGTTTCTGTTTCTAGAACCATGGTTAAGGTTATGCTGTTAAGCTTACATTAGAATGTTAACCTCAAAAGGGGAGGGACTCTTGTCTTTTTTTTTTTTTTTTATCATGGTAGCCCGGCATCTAAAACAGAGCCTGGTACAGAGCAGGGTCTCAAATATTTATTAGTTGTCTTCAGCTTGTACAGAAGGTAGGGGCAAAATGCCTTTAATTTCAAAAAACTGAAATGTATCATTATTTTACAGAAAATGTGCTCTTACTGGCCAGAGTAAGTCCTGTAAACACAGAATTAAATTAGGAGACTCAAGCAACTATTATTATATTTCTCCTTTTTGTAGATACAGGGTAAGTAACTTAATCATGAATTTTAATAAAGTTTACTGTTATATAAGACATTTAATTATTTATAACATTTTTTTCTTTTGGCTTAGATCACTTCTGTGTGTAACTTTTTTACATACATTCGCTATATTCAGCAGGGACTTGTGAAACAGCAGGACGGTGAGTGTTCTTAATTCCTTGTAAAACATCTGCGTAAAATCCAGTAAATAGTATAGGTCATAGTAGTAATGCTTAAGAAAACTTTATTATTGGTATATTTTTATTGAGTCTCTTTTATAGTTCCAATAAAGTGTGTGGAGAATTTGGAAAGAAATGTCTCTTTAGACATTGTGTTTAATCCTTACACTTGCCTCATTTTACTCTGATTTTGAGTTTTAAGCAAAATCAGTTTTAACTCTTAAGACATGTGATAAACCAGATGATACGTGTGAGGTGAGTACAAAGCTCATTGAATTTACTCCTTAAGAGAGAAAAATGAGCACGCTCTAGACACGGTCAGAGGTATTGTAATTGGTGAAAACCACACGGAGCTAAAAATTCTTCTCTGTGTTTTCTGTTTTCACATGAGAATTAATAAAAGAGCCATGAGGGTAATTCTGAGTGGAGTAAAGATTACGGTGTTATAAAGCAGCAGACACACGCAGATGAGACATCCGGGAGAGCCAGCCTCATGCAAGTGGTTTCATAGCTGAGTGTCTGCAGCACGAGGCAGGAAAGCAGCTGCAGCCCGAGAGCGCCGAAGCCAGGCTTCGTGATGCGCATGACTCTCAGAACAGGAATAACAGATACTGGGCAGGGCAGGTCCCTGCCGGTTTTGTACTGGAAGTTGTGGGAAGTTTTCCTGTTTGTATGTTTTTTAGACACTGAAAATATTCTTTTTTTTTTCTTATACTTAAAAATAATAGAAGCCTTCTGTCTTTCAATTAGGAAACCAGTGAGTCTTAATTCTGTGGCATAGTCATGCCTGTAAAAACTTAGCTGAACATTTCTTAAGCTCTGGTATATTGAAAACAGTCATACTTATTTAGAATCCCATATAATTAGGTTTCAATGCCTAAAAGAATAAAGGTGAAATCTGTCTCTAATTAACGTTGAATTTCAAAAGCTGTGTAGCATAAAAGTAGTCTTTCTTTAAACTATACAATACTTTATATGACTTCAATAAAATTGAAGTCTTTTTGAATCCTGTTGGTGGATAATATGATTTAAGCTGGGGAACAGATGATTTATGTTATGTTAAATTGTCAAGCATATTTTTTCTCCTTATTAAAACGATGTTTTTGTAGGGAAGGGAGGCGGAAAGATAACTTACGTTCTGTAAATAGAAAGAATCATGAGTGATGGTGGTGTGTTGGTGAAAAAAGTCATTTCTTCTCTGGTTTCCACCACTCTTTCTCTTGACATTGTTAGATGTACATCATATAGTGTGGGTTTGTAGTAAATACATATTTTTAATGTGAAAATTTTTCATTGCCTGTGCATATGCCAAAAAGAATTTAGGGCAGCTAAATTCAAAGCAAGATTTCTCAGCCGTTGCACTATAACATTTTAAGCTGGATAATTCCTAGTTGTGGGGGGACTCTCTTTTACATTGTAGGATGTTTAACAGTTTCTCTGGGCTCTACTCACTGCTTGGTAGGAATGAAAAATGTATCCAGATGTTGCCAAGTGAACCCCTGGGGATAAAATCTGCCCTGGTTGAGAAGCACTGATCTAAATCAGTCTAACTGATCATATGTCAGATGAAGACATTTTATTATCTAAAATATAGAGCCATCTTTTTTGTGTAATATTTTTAAATTATATTTTATTGATTATGCTGTTACGGTTGTCCTGCCTTTCCCCCCCTTGCCTCCCTTCCCCCAGCGCCCCCGACTTCCTCAAGCAGTCACCCCACCATTGTTCATGTCCATGGGCCATGCATATACGTTTTTTGGCTACTCCATGTCCTATACTGTACTTTACATCCCAATGGCTATTCTGTAACTACCTATTTGTACGTCTTAACCCCCTCACCTCTCCACCCATTCCCCGACATCGCCCTCCCATCTGACAATATCAAATGGCCTCAGTCTCCATGATTCCATCTCTGCTTTTTCTCGTTTGCTTAGTTTGTTTTTTAGATTCAACTGTTGATAGATACGTATTTTTGCTATATTTTTGTTCCTAGTTTTGATCTTCTTCTTTTTCTTAAATAAGTCCCTTTAACATTTCATATAATAATGGCTTAGTGATGATGAACTCCTTTAGCTTTTATTTTCTGGGAAGCTCTTTATCTGCCCTTTGATTCTAAATGAGAGCTTTGCTGGGTAGAGCAATCTTGGCTGTAGGTCCCTGCTTTTCATGACTTTGAATATGTCTTGCCAGTCCCTTCTGTAAAGTTTCTTTTAAGAAATCAGCTGACAGTCTTATGGGAACTCCCCTGTAGGTAACTAATTTCTTTTCTCTTGCTGCTTTTAAGATTCTCTCTTTATCTTTAACCTTTGACATTTTAATTATGATGTGTCTTGGACTGGGCCTCTGTGCATCCATCTTGTTTGAGACTCTCTGTGCTTCCTAGACTTGCATGTCTATTTCATTCACTAAATTGGGGAAGTTTTCTTTCATTATTTTTTCAAACAGATATGCAATTTCGTGCTCTTTCTCTCTCCTTCTGGTGCCCCTATGATGTGAATGTTGGACCTCTTGATGTCACAAAGGCTGCTTACACTCTCTTCATTTTTCTGGATTCCATTTTCTTCTTGTTCTGATTGGTTGTATTTTTGTCCTTTATGTTCCAAATCATTGATTTGATTCTTGGCTTCATCCACTCTACTGTTGTTTCCCTGTAAATTGTTCTTTATTTCAGTTAGCATATCCTTCATTTCTGACTGGGTCTTTTTTATGCTGTTAAAGTCCTCTCTAAGTTCCTTGAGCATCCTTATAACCAGTTTTTTTGAATTCTGCATCTCATAGATTGCTTATCTCCATTTTGTTTAGCCTTTTTTCTTGAGTTTTTATCTGTTCTTTCATTTGGGCCATGTTTCTTTGTCTCCTTGTTCTGGCAGCCTCCCTGTGTTTGTTTCTATATATTAAGTAGAGCTTCTTTGACTCCCTGTCTTGGTCGTGTGGCCTAATGTAGTAGGTGTCCTGTAGGGTCCAGTGGCAGAGCCTCCCCTATCACCCAAGCTGAGTACTCAAGGTGCCCCCTTCATGTGGGCTGAGTACACCCTCCTCATGTAGTTGAGCCTTGGTTGCTGTTGGCCGATCAATGGGAGAAATTTACCCCAGTTGATCAGCTGCAAGGATTGGCTGTGACCAGTTACCATGGCCCTGTGCCCTCTGTGGAGGATCAGCTGTGCAGGGGCAGGGTGGTGGTGCTCCAACGTGGTCTGTCGCTGTCCACTGGGTGCGCAGGCTCTGGGGTTTCCCAGGTGGTGTAGGCCAAGGTCAGCCCCCAACTGTGTTTTGCCTGGAGCCTCTCTGCCTGAACTGTAAAGCAATCTGAGATGGCTGCTACTTGTGCTGGGCTTGGAGATTCCCAGGTGAAGCCACGCTGTCAATCTAGGCTGGCTGCTGCTAGTGCTGGGCCTGGGGCTCACTGAGGGCAGTTGTTGCTTGTTTGAGAGGATTTAGGAAGATTTGCAGCATGAGCCAAGACCAGCCATTCATATGGAAGAGCGGCTTGGGTGGGCCCATAAGTTGAGTTGGGGAGAGTCTCTGGGGAACCTCCAAGGCAGGTCAAACATTGTTAGCCAGGTTGATGGAGTCTCAGATATGGCACCAGCCTGCTGGCTCTGTGACTCTGTGGGAGGAAGGTTTAGAAAAGGGACCATGTCCTCTGCTTGCCTTGATGCCAGAGACATCAGTTTCTCCCAGTATGTCCCTGGTGCCTTTCAAGCTGCTACTCTGCTGCTGGAGCTCAGAAAGGAGTGAGTCTGAGTAGGTGAATATCTGTGGGTTCTTTAAGAAGAACTGCTTGGGGCCCCAGAAATTTCCTCCACAGACTCCATCCCTGCTGGTTTTTGCAGCCAGTAGTTGTGGAGTCTTATCTTCCTGGCACTGGCACCCTGGGTTGGGGGGCCTGGTGTGGGGCTGGGACTCCTGGATTCCAAAATACCCCTCCCAAGTTTTTATCCACCACACGTGGGTGTGGGACCAGCCTGTTCCGCTTCTCCACCTCTCCTACCAGTCAGACTGGATGTGGTTTCTTTAATTCCATAGTTGTCATACTTCCATTCAACTTGATTTCTGACAGTTCTGAGTGATGGTTGTTCTATATTTTAGCTGTAATTTTGATGTGGTTTTGTGAAGAGGTGCGCCATGTCTGCCTACACTACCATCTTGACCAGAAGTCTATAGAGCCATCTTTTTTCTACTCACAGGGGGGCTCACAAATGTAGAGAATGGATATGTACAGGTCATCCTCTACATTTATTTTTATTTCTAATTTGAGCTATATATAAAACTCCCTATGAGGCACAAAAAATGTTACTGAGTTCTCTGGACTGTCTCTTGTTTTCCTTTTCACTCTCTTGTTAGTATTAATGAAAAGTGAAATGTCCAAGATGTAGTAACTAGAGCAAGAAGATACAGAAGTTAGATAATAACTCTTGCATAATTGAGAATTGAGTGTAATTACTTATGAAGGCAACAGCTTTGCTATTTACTCAGGACACTGAAATGTCTACCTTCTGTTGGTCTAAAGTGATAGTTACTGGATGTATCTGATAAATAGTTGTGGCAAACTGGTGAATGCCGCTTATTGAAAACTTGGATGCTCACAAGTATATGAAAAAGTTTGTGTGAAATAGCAATAGAATGTCCAGGTGCATTAGGTTTGTCATTAGGAAATGTCAAATAGCTTTTCAGTTAATGTTAGATTTTCATTGAAACATATTAAAAATAATTAGGATGGTATTTTATGATTTATGTATCTCTCTTTTCTGTTCGTATAGTTGATCACATGTTTTGGGAAGTTATGCAGTTGAGAAAAGAGATGTCACTGGCAAAGCTGGGATATTTCAAAGAGGAGCTCTGATCCTCTGCCTGGGACCATGCACAATCTCCCTGCATACCTGGAAGATGGCTGAATATTTTTATGGTTACTTGATATTTATTTCCAAGGTCTGGGCCCAAGACTTTTCCCCTCTTTTGCAATTTACACCAAGAAGTACTGTGATTTCTTTTAAACTGACCTATGCTGTTTTTGCTTATTCTTTAGTTGAACACACTATAAAAAATTACAGGTGTACTAGTGATTGTAATTTATAGTTGCAAAAAAAAAAGGTAAATAAACAAATATTAGATCGAATGTGTTTTTGCTTTCTCTTCTAGCTCTGACATAGCACATGAGGTCAGCTGAATGTATTGAATTGGTTTTCAAACTGCACAGCAGCCTGTGGGAGGCAAGGAAGACGGCTGAGTGGACAGGGTCAGCTCTTTCTCTCCACTTGAAAAACTCTACTCTTGTCTGTTTTATATATTGGGATTAAAAAAAAGATTTAAAGAATTCTGCTGCTAAAAAGTTTGAAAGTGACCGTTTCAATCATTTCGTTCTTTGTAATTTAAAGAATCCCTTTATTATGGTGATTAATTATATAGAGGACAGTCACATTTTATCCCAGAAATGCATTCTTGAACATGTTGATGTAATATGCCCATACTTCATATATGTTGAGCACTGTAATAGGTATTGAAAGGATATAAAGATAAATAAGGAGTTTGATGTATGCTCAAGGAACTTTGAAGGAGTGTGGCTGAAAGAATGGTACATGCAAAATATACACAGACTCACTTGATCTGTAAGTTCCAATTTGTAAAACTGACATCATGTGGAAAAACTATTAATTAAAATTATTTATAAAAAGAAAGAGTTCCATGGTAGAAATATAGTAAGTATAGAAAAGCAAAAAGAAGAAATGACAACTCAATCTCTCCATCTAAATAAAGCTACTCTTAATATTTTTGAAGAATAGACTTTCAGCTTTCAGATACATAGTTTGAAAACTAAAAGCAGACTTTCTTACTTTAAAAATTTAAGTATTTTTCTATACATCTTAATCAGTCTGAGGTTCTGATTATAGGATAATATAATTTTTTTTTTATCACTTGAAGGCACGCTTACTGATTCTAGAAAGAGGGGGCAGGAGGGAGGGAGAGAAACATGGGCATGAGAGAAAAATCGACTCTATGACTCCTGTACATGCCCTGACAGGGGACCAAACCTGCAGCCTAGGCATGTGCCCTGACTGGGAATCAGACCCATGGCCTTTCGGTTTACAGGACAGCTCTCCAACCAGTTGAGCCACACCGGCCAGGGCAGGATGTTAATATAATTTAATTGTGTTTGGAGAGTAAGTTGTTTAAATTTTTTTTTCACATTATAGTTCTGTAATAAGTATCCTTTTGTATACTTCTTTGAACATTGTTGGGTTATTTCCTTTATGTAGATGCCTAGAATTAAAAGCGTTGGGTCAAGCAAGGTATATGTGTATTTTAAAACTTTTGATCTCTATTGTCCAGTTGCCCTCTAGAAGAGATGAACCAATTTATTCACAGCAGCAGTGTATGGGAAGATGGTGTTGTGTTCAGTCCTGTCTCAAAGGCTTAGTCAACCATAACCGGCAGAAGACTCAGTCCCCAGGGTGGGTGGGAGTCCACTGACAAAAGGACATTTGAGAATATGGTAGAAATAGTGATTAGCACGCCCAGCTCAAGAATCTGAAATTGAACATGAAAAGGACTTTGAACCTAGAATTTTATGTCCTGATAAATGGTTATTCTAATGGGAGGGCATAATAAAAATGTTCTCAGACTTTCAAAGCTTCAGATTTTCCAACAAAGATGGAAATTAAAAACATCTTTGGAGAAAACACTTAAATATAAAGAGAAATGAGTCTAGGAGATGCTACAAGAGATTTGAGAAGAAAAGTAATCAGACATTTAGGGAAAGTTTGTTGATAACTTTAAGAAGCATACATAAACAGTAGGACTTAAGAAAATAAAATATATCAATAACTTTATAATATAGACACATGGGAGTGGGAAGAGACCAGAGAACATGAAGATAAAATTCTTGTCTTGTTAGAAGGAAAAGGAAAAAAAATAGTGTGACAGGGAAAGAAAAAGTTAAGGTGATTTAACTACTGAATTGTACACCTTAAAAGGGTAATTTCTCTGGTATGTGAATTATATCTCAAAGCTGTCGAAAAACATTTTTTTAAAAGTACTTTAAGATGGTAAGATGAGAGTCAAATTGGGTTAAGATATTTATAGACAAGGCATAAATGACATGAAATGTTTAAAATGAACAAAAAATATCAGGAGGATAAAAAAGGTGAAGGGATTAAGAAGTACAAATTGGTAGTTATAAAACAGTCATGGGGAGATGAAACATGGTAAAGTGCAGCACAGGGAATATAGTCAACGATACTGTAATAGCGGTGGTGCCAGGTGGGTACTTATTGGGGGGATTGCTTCATAAATTATATAAATGTCTAACCACTGTGCTGTACACTTGAAACTAAAATGTATTGAATGTATGCTGTAATTGAAAAACTAGGTAACAGGAAAATACCAAAAGAAAGCTTGTGTGGCTATACTGTTACCGGACAAAGTGCACAAAGTAGACATCAAGACAAAGGCATTATTAGGGAGAGAGATGGTTACTACGTGATGCTAAAAATTGAGTTCACCAAGGAGACTTAAGAAAATAGTAATAATAAATGATGAAAATAGAAGTAAGTTTTAAAATGCTAAGGGCTGACAAATAGTGAATATCACAATATAGGATGCAGAGAAAAAAAATGGTTCAAGGGAAAATTTATCGTCTTAAATCCGTATTTGTATTTTAAGAATGAGCTCAGTGTTCAGTCAAGTCACAAAAGAACAAAATAAAGGCGTCAAGAGCAGAAGTGGAGGAAACAAGATTGCAGTACAGGCTCAGCAAAGCTGTGAGATAACTTTGAAAAGATTAACAAAATAGACAAACATTTTGGGCCGGTTTATCCTGGGGAAAAAGAAAATGCACAAGTAAACCATATAAGGCATGAAAAGGGTTGGGGTCTACATAAACGACAGATGTTAAACATGAATATTATGAACAACATGCCAATAGATATTTAAAATATAGGCAGAATGGAAAAATTTCTAGAAAATGTTATATTTTGATAAAGAACAAATCGGAAGCCTAAGTAAGCTCTGTTAAATAGTATTAATGTAAAAGTAAGGAAATGGAAATCTAACTGTAAAGAAAACTCTAGGGATAGATGGTTTTATCAGATAAAGTGGGTTATTCTAATTGGACATGTTCTCCTAGAGATTATACATCTACATCAAAACCAGTATATCCTTGGTAGTAAAACCACATACGGACAATACAAGAAAGCAAAATTATAGGCCCATTTAGTCATGAATATATATGCAAAGTAAACAATGTAACATGTTGACCAAGTGGCATTTCAGGAGGGCAAAGATGGTATATTAGAAAATTTATAAGTCTTATTCATTTACAGAATAAAAGTGGAAAACCAATTGATCAGTAGGTGCAAAAAAACATTTAATAAGAACACCCATTAGTGATAACTCTTAGCTATCTGCAAGTGGAAGGGTACCTTGCAACTTGGTAAAGGCTTTCAAAAATCCTGAAATAAACACCATTTTAATGAGGAATACATTAAATGCATTCTTTTTAAAGTCAGTAATGAGACAAGGAAGACCATTGTTCTCACTTCCATTTTACATTGTACTAGAAATGTTAGTCATTGCAGTAAGATGAGAAAAAGAAGGTATCATTATTGGAAAGGAGGAAGTAAATCTCATTATTTGCAGATAATATGATTGTCTACCTAGGAAACTGCCCAACCTCCAAAAAGTCTTTCATGAAAATGTTAGACATAACTGGAGAGTTTTGTTGGGTGGCTAAATACAGGATCAATATGTAATTGTGAATTGTAGCTGTGTACACCAGCCACAAACAATTAGCAGAATTTTTAAAAAGACACCAAACCATTGCAAAAACAATTCTTAAGTACATAGTAACAAATTGACCAAATGTGCGCCAGATCAGTCTGCAGAAGGCTGTAACACTTTACTAACAAGGCATTAAAGAGGACTGGAATGTTTTCTATGTTTGAGCAGAAAGACAATATCCAGTAAATGTCAGTTCTCTCCTAAACTGATACATAGATGTAATGCATCTTCAAACTAAATCCCAACGTCCTCCTGGACTTGACAAACTGATTAGAAATGTTTGTGACAGAGTCAAGGATGAAGAACGACTGGGGCACTTTGAAGAGAAGGGAGGGACTTACCCTACCAGAAGGCCTTTTTATGAGGCTGAAGTGTTCAAGAGTGTGTGACGTTAGTGCAGATAATGGACAAAGTGGCCAGTGGAGCAGAACAGCCCCAAAGCAGATGACCCAAATGTACATGTGAATCTCATGAATTTTACATGCATGTGTGGGTCTGGTAGATCAGTGATGAACTCTTAATTAAATGGACCTGGCAAAGGAAGGGAAAATATAAGATCTCTTCACACACACACACCCCACACTCACACACACAGTCACACACACAGTTTAAATGACCTGAACCTTTAGAATTTCTGATGTAGTAAATACAGTTGAGATTATAGATGAAATATATTTCAAAAATACAGGTGAATCTTTCTAATCCTGTGCACTTTAAGAACAACTTAATAAGCTGGAAGCAAAAGAAACCATAAAAGTTAATTAATCCTAACAGTTGAGCTGTATTTTAAGTGGATTTAGAAGTTCTGTTCATCAAGACATATTAAAGCCAAACTACAAACTATAAGAAGGTATTTGCAAAGCGTAGAGCCAGTAGTAGGTTAATCTCAAGAATATATACAGAAATTCTAGAAATTAAGCAAGAAAACAGACAACCTAACAAAAAAAAAATGGGGAAAAAGACTTAAACAGGTCTCTGAAGAATTGGAAATGCATATGGGCCAAAACTGTGAATAAACATTCATGTGAGAGTTAAACATTTACATACCCATGGCCCAGCAATTCTACTTTTAGGTATATTCTCAAGAGAAATACTTGCACAAAGTACCCCAGAACACATAGGTAATAATGTCCTGGAAAAAATTCAAATGCCCATCTATAGGAGGGTAAAGTGTTGAATGCTAACAATGAACTATTACAGGGCAGACAAAAATGAACAAACACGGGCTACATGCAAGACAATAACAACATAGAATGAGTGAAAAAGCCAACTCAGAAGACTACGCATGACATAATACTTCTTCATAAAGCACAAAAACTAAATAATTGTTTAGGAATACATATATACAAGACAAAACTTTTTTTAAAAAAAACAAGGTAGTGAGAAACACAAAGTTCAGGATAGGGTTACCTCAGCATGTGGAGGAAGTAAGGGGCAGAGCTGGGAGGAACAAGTATACAAGCAAGTTATCGTTAATGTTCCCTCAACCCTGGATTGGATGGTGGGTTCATTAGTCATTAAAAGCAAGTACATGAACACATGAATAGGAGAATCATGAACAAA